CCCGCTCTCAACGGACGTATACAGTCGTGCACCTCCAATTCGGCACCGGTATCAGTCGATACCCTGCCAGATTTTATGATTACGCGAATCGGATGCGCAATTACCTTTGCCGATCACCACCCTAGCAATTGACCTCAACGGTTTTCCCCTCCTCGACGAGGGATGACACGCCGCATCGATCTTATTTTAAATTTTGGATCGGACGTCTTCATACAAACACATACTTTGACTTTTACCGCCAAAGACAATGGGACATCGCCCTTCCTCCTACATGTCCCTAACCCTAGCACAAAAGCAGTCTTTGTGCGAAAAGCACAAGTCAGATCCTGCATGCTCTCACTCCGAGCTTGCTCGTTGGGCAACGGAGCGCTTTAAGACCCCCCAAGCAGAGAAGCGCACTACCATCCAGAGTATTCTTTAGCGGTCGGCGGACGTTGCCGCCTTGCCGAGCGCCTATCGCGACCGGAAGCGCTGTTGCGCGCCCACGATTCGCGCGTATGACGCCAAGATTATGCAGAAGATTGGCGTAAATGTTGTACTGAATTAACGAATGAAATATCAGTGCACTGGATTTGCGTTTGTTTTTATGCCTTACGTTGTGCACTTATGCCCTGGCACTGTTGATATGGTCCGCCCTGCCGAATTGGAGGTGCACAACTGTATTACAACATGCGAGACTTTCCCGAAATTGGCCTTTTTTTACATGTTGTATAATACAACATGTTAAAGACCGTGAAATGCACGCGGTTAGGCTCAAATTATGCGCAGAAAGAACGTAAATTTACACAGAGCGAGCAAAACCGTACACAGACAGCCAGGGTAAGATACACTGATTTGCGACCAGGCAGCTGTTCTTTTTGATGGGTGGCCACTCATTTCATTACGCAAAACGACACGGAGGACGCAAGTGCTAATGGGAGCCCGGTGACAGACTCGCAGCGAGCGTGATGCCTTCTTGGCAAGGCTGGACGGGAGGAGCATCGCAAAGAGAGCGCGGCTGAGCGCTGAGCACGAGGCGTATGTAAGGGGCGAGAGAGATGAACGCTGACTTCGGCCCTAATACCTCGACTGACGAAGCAACGTCCGCACCAGAACCGGCGACTGCAACGCCCGCGTCAGAACCGCCAAGAACAACGCCTGCAGCATCTCGCCTGCATTTTCCCTCTCCGTGTCGACCACCAGTAGGGAAGACAGCAAGCTACATAGCATATGCGAAGAAGGTGCGGGCTGGACACTTGGCGGCTAAGGCAGCAGCGGCGAAAAAGGCGGTAGCGGTTGAGAAGAAGACGGCAGTGGCCGAGAAGAAGAAGGCGGCAAGCAAGAAGAAGATGACAAAGCGTCGTGTTGCCAAAATTAGACGCGACGAGAAGCAAGCAAAGGAGAGCAGAGCAATTGCGCGTGCAACAAGTGCTGTTGCCGCTTCGGGCGTAAGCGAAGAAGAGTGAGCGTGACCGTGTGGCGGACGAGAAAATTCGAGGAGGCCAAGCGCGTGATCAAGCGTTGGCGCAGCTACAGAAGAAGCAGCCAATCGCGGCGGAAAAGCGGAAACGCACTCCAAAGCCCGCGGCAAAAACACAGAAGGTGTCGAGGACTACGAGTCCTCACGTCGCCGACGACGGTGTAAACGACCAAGGTCCAAGTGCAGACAGTGGTCAGTACGTGTTTGAGAGCAAGGTGTATATTGATCTTGTACCGGTACTGACGATGTGGTATATTATGTGCTGCAGAAATCTATCACCTGGCAACTAACCACAGCGCGAAAATGTACCCTTATCCCCAAGCTGTGTGGCCAGGTATGTGTGCACTGTATACAGCATGTTTGAAGACATTCATGCTGATTTATACTGCATGTTGTGTTGGCAGGTCTCTCAGTATGGATGTTAGCGAAGCTGATATTAACAGCACAGCTGCTGACACTGTTCGTGTTTTTCAAGTTTCAGATGAAGACGCATTGATCTCGGATGAAGAAGAGAGCGGTAAATCAGAAGGTTGGTACACAGAGCTAATGGAGAGAAAAACTGGAGAAGACACCCTCATTGATGAGGCTGGGGACGGAGTTGAGGGTGATTGGTCAGACGATGATCCTGACGGCGAATATGGGGCTAATCTCCTCCGACTGCAGAAAATTCGTTCACAGAGAGAACTGTTGAAGCAGCGGGTTGCTACGGCCAAAGCTCGAGTGTCCAGAGACTGGAAGACAACGACAACGAATTGGGACACGATGACGAACGAGGCGAAGGAGCTACTTGCGATGGATGAAGAAGCGCTGGCAAAGAAGCGTATCGGTGGCTGGAACTTTGGTACATATTTCATGCTTCAAGAAGTTCTATATACTACGTGTACTGACATCTCATGTTGTATTATACATCTAGATCATTCCACCCAGCCTGTACGAGCCGAAGGATATTTTGGCCAGGTGACGAGAGAGGAGGTGTTGCTGAGGGAAACAAAGCCGCACAAGAGGATTCAACCCGAGGACGTGGTGCACTGTATCGGCTTGCTCGTGGCTAGAATGCTGGGTCCTCACAAGCGAAAGTTTGCTGATCATTGGGCTAAGACCGCTGTTGGTGCTGTGCCTAAAGGAACATTTGGCCCCTACGTGAGGATAGCTCGATTCGATCGGATTATGCAGAGCTTGCATTTTACGAACAACGCTGACCCGCGCGCGGAAACGGATCGCGCTTGGAAAGTGAGATCAGTTGTTGACACCTTGCAACAACCTGTCAGCGAGGATACACAACGCCTCCAGTGGTGTCATTTGATGAAGCAATGATCCCATCAAGGAGCCGCCATAACATAACCCGCCAGTTCATGAAGGACAAGCCTCATAAATGAGGGACCCAGTTGTTCATGACCTGTTGTGCTGGTACTGCTTACTGTCTTCGGTACGTTGCCTGCACTCCTTTTTGTTTTGGCTAAGTAGCCCATGTTGTATAATTACTCATGTTGATGATCTATATGTTGAATGTACAACGTGCTAGGATCGAGGTCTACTGCGGGGCGAATCAGCACTCGGACGCGCTCGGAGGGGTCCCACCTACGCCGTTTTCGGCAGACCCGAGCTCAGGCCCTTCCGCCGTCTTGCGGAATCTCCACAAGATTCTCTCACCCCGCCAAGACGGTGTGTTTCATGCGGTGGTCACCGACCGCTTCTACACATCTGTGCAACTTGCACTGAAGTTGCTTTCTCGCAATGTGTACCTAGTGGGGACAATCCAGACAAACAAGAATGAATTTTTGCCTGCTCTGGTCGTCAAAGCGGCCAGCCGTCCTCCGGGTGTTGAACATGGATCCGCAACGATTGCAGTATCTAAAAACTGTCCACAGATGATGGGATCGCTTGCCGGTCTATTTACTTTCTACCGGAAGCAGCACTGTGATGGAGACAGCAGGTAAGTTTGGCTTTATTTGTTATGACACTTGGGTCAGCTAAGTTTATCGTGTGTATTAGGGCGTCACGTTCCTGGTGGTCGCAGAATCACCATTCCCTGCCCGTCCGCGGTGCGTGATTACCATCGTTGGATGGGTGGGGTGGACATCCACGACCAACTGCGACTGCAGCGCTATTCGCTGCAGCTGTCTGTGCGCTTCCGCAAATACTACAAGACCATTTTTCCTTGGGCTGGTTGACATAGCAATGGTCAATGCTTTTATCGTCTATTGCGAGGCGCTCAGGCGGAAAGGAGAAACTCCAGCTGACCATGCTGAATTTCTGGAAGTGCTACAGACCCAACCGCTCCAGACGGCTGGTGAAGACTTCGAAAAGGTATGTACTACTTGTTGGGATGTCGACATGTTCTATATACTACTTGTGTGACTTGTGTATTTATTGTGTGATCAGAGCTTTTCACCAGGACCCGCCACTCCAACGCGCGTTTCAACAGCGATTTCTGGCTCGCACGAGCTGTCTGAATTTCCTGAGTGGGCTCAAGTGCGAGAGGGGGCTAGGAAGCGGCCACAACACTAGTGCAAGGTCTGTTCTATCCGCCGAACGAAAATTGGTCAGCGCAGTGCTACCAGATTCGATTGCGAAGCCTGCAGCAATGGAAACAAGCGGTGAGTGGTGGTGAATTGACAAATTGCCCATATCGTCTAACACGCTATGTAGTGTCTACCTGTGTGATCGAGTGCGACCAAGTCACTATATGAACAACAACATGACGTGCCATCAAATATGGCACATCAAGTTGAAGAACGGTGACGAGCGCCCACGTCCTTGTGTCGGGCGAGACATCCAGATGCGTGGCCTCGGCAAGAAGCGCCGCCGCTGTCCCATGAGCAGCAATGACAGCGACGACGAGGGGGACTCTGAAGATGATGGCGCTACAGGCTCCGACGTGTCTGGGGTGCGGAGAGCACAGAATGCCGCTGACGTTTCGGAAGCGGAGGAGGCAGAGAATGTTCACGAGACGGCACTGGAGGGAGGAAATGATAGCGAATGAGGATGGGATGGCTGCTTGCTGGAAGTATTCAATCGAATTGTCCGTGTCACCGCGCAAAGCTGTGCAACTTTCTCGACCTTTGTTCAGTTAATATATAAAAGCCAAAACACAATGTAGTATATACGCCGTGCATCACAAGTTCGGCTAGTCCACAGGGTATTTGACGACATGTCTGGTACAGAGCATTGCGCAGGATGTGAGCAACTTCCCGCAGTTCATAAAACTATTTCGTACTTATGACAGACAATACAAATTCTTAGTTTATACCGGCCTTAACATGTGGTATAATACTACATGTAAAAGCGAGGCAGGGGGCATTTTTTCGCTTGAGAGCGAGGGGGGGTAAAACGGCAAAAAGGGTCGATATACAGGATTTCGAGTGGTCGATCGATCCCAAGCGGTCGATTTGACTGCCGTAGCTCGATTTATCAGCCAGTCTAGCTAGATCGATTTGTACCTTTTATAGACCTCGATTTAAAAAACGACCTATATTTTTTTTTATAAATCGAGCATCAGGCTAAGTGAAAAGGACAAAAGCATTGAAATGCACAATATAATATGACGTCAATCACTACTGGCACCAAGGCTCCTGCCGCTATCCCCGCTGCAGCAACCCCTGGCGCTTTCGCTGCATCCACGCCTAGCGCCACGCTCGGTGCCATTCTAGCTTATACGACGCACAGCGCCACCCCCTCTTCATCACTACCCCGGCTGCCACGGCGCTCAGTGCCCCGCCTGCAGAAACAGTTGGAGGCGTCTGGAAGGCAATGCGACGAGGGACCTATCTGTAGTGGTGCTGGCGACTTGCCGACTGGCTCGCTGTGGCCTAAGAAGGCAGATGTTGCCGTCCAGGACTGCCACGAAACAATGCCTATCTACACGAACTCCAACAATTGTGTAGCCGCAACGTCACGGCGTCCGTGACCATGTCCAGCATCTACAGCGTGCGGCTCAGACGGCGTACAACAGTATAAACATCCGTTTTGAAGAGAACGTGGATCTGGTGGCGATTCACATGAAGCCGCTGGAGTGCTACACGTTCGACAGCGTCTACGGGCTCACCAGCTTCATGTCCATGTTCGTAACGGACAAGATCCTCATGCATGAGCCATGTCGACTCGACAGTCGAGTGCTTAGCGTCTGAATCTCGTGCGCTCGGGTCCGCTGTAGATAGCTGTGCACTCCACGTTCTACTCGTCTTCGAGCCCGAAGTTTGCCAGACGGTCGTCCGTACCATCCGCACGTTGTACAAGCGCGTGACTACCCGTAATGGATCTCGTCGGCTGTAACGACACGACGACGCCCAACGTGTCTGACACTCTGTTGAAGGGCTCGTATGACTCGACGGATCTTTGATCGAGCTCGATTGAAACGGTTTCAAAACGTTGGAGATCGGAAACACTTTGAAATATGGATCCATGGTGATGGCGACCGATTCGAACTGCGGTACGATTCCCACGACGGAAACGGGCGGTACCATTGAGACGACCACCACTGGATCCGGAGCTACGACGACGACGGTGACGACTGGATCTGGTGAATCAACGACCACGATTGGCACCACCTCTTCGACCGGGTCGCACTGGACGCATCAGACTGCCAACTAGAGCAATATGTCATTTAGCTCATGCCTATGGCGTATTTTACATTGTACTTTTCGCTGCGTTATCTTGCGTAAAAATGAAATGAAAATGTGGTTTGAACGGTCAAAGATGACAAGTTGCTAGGCTATCTAAGCAATTCGACTCAACAAGAAAATCAATAGGGAGCACAATTTATAATTTGGCACTTATCTCCTCAATCGACGGACCTCGACTTAAGATAATCATGGCCAGGATCAGAGGGGCCACTACTTGGGATGCTGAGGTACGCTTTAGTTTTGATAGCACATGCAAATTAGATACACTGTACCCTTTAACGAACATAATAAAGACGTTCGAAAATGAAAAGACGTCTAAGCTGGCGTAAATTCACGTTTTTTCAAAAACGTTTTTTATTCCCACTGCCAGCACTGAACGGAACGACGTTACGGAAACAATTTCAACAAGACAACAGGTCTTACAGCTCCATAGCAGCCCTTCTGACAAAAGAAACAACACTAGGAAGCAACACAGAGCAGTAATATACTTGGTGGGGTGTAAATAGATTACCTTAATTGTAAAAGTTACCATGTAGCCATCAAGCAGCTTTGACAAAATTCACGTTTGGTGGGGGCTACCTACCATAAAGAAAGAAGAAGTCGAAATAACAGGTGGAGACTGAATGAGCGCTTCCTCTAGCTCTAAGACGGTGGGCTCGACGTCTCCGACTGCCGCCGAGGACCACCACGCCAGCCGCAGCTTCAATGATCGTATATGCAAGGAGCTACTACGTTCACGAATACAGCACATCGAGCGCCTGGAAGCAAGCCTGAAGCGAGTGGCCAAGTATTATATCAAGCTGATGAATGCACACGAAGAATTTGCGGCCATGCTTGCCCACGAAATAGGCGCAGCGATTCGTCTAGCCGCTGCTGCTGGAGCGTCGACGCATGGCGCTGGATATGTCATGCCCTACGATGTGGCACTTGAACAGTGCTGCAGCATACTGCTGGAGATGCCATTGGAAAAAAGGATAACCTACGCGTAGCGTGTATTCAAGCACTTAAAATATATCATACAAACACAATCTCAGCGTTTTATTTTGCTACATCTTAAACGCTTTAAGCAGTTTCGCCCGGTTGCTTCTACTGCTTTAGTACACTTACTAGACCTTTTGACACTACTGGTTGCATCCGAATGACAAACATGATACGAAGTCGCATAATGGCGACTTCGTCTTTTGAAATAACCACTGACGTTAGACGAAAGTTTTCCTCGAGCATGGCGTATGTCTGCGCCATGCACAGCACGCCGCACGAAGTTCCCTCCGGCTGTTTTGGTGCGTCAAGGCAAACACCAACCGTCTCGGAAGGGTATTATGTGGCTGGCATGCTTCTTTCGTGCCAGTCTCGTAAAAATGTTGCCGCAGTTGTCATGTAAATATTCTCCATTATCGGTCGATAGTTTTTGCCGCACAACCGTTCATAGTAGTATGGCGTGGTGCAAGGCTGCTCTTGCTTATAAGCCAGTCTTGTGATAATGATTCCCCAGTAAATTCCACTCAGGTGTACGGGAATCACAATATACTGAAATGCCGAAATTCGTGTCTTTGGTGGATTCGGGCATCCCATCGTAGGCGCGAAGGAGTTCATCGCGTAGCCGTCTCCCAGCGTATAGCATATGGAGCAAATATTGAAGTCTATCATGAGGTCGTTCAGCATCCTATCTCGGGCCAAACCCCCCACAAGATTGTCCACCTTAATCGAGCATTGAGCGCTAGACAGTCTGCATTTGGAAGATAGACAGGTACTGCGTAGAACATTAGTGATGTCCGTGGCCAGATGGTGGTGCTTTCCTCCCGTCTCAGAGGGAAGCAGCGCTTCTGAGTCAGTCTCTTCGTCGAACAGCTCCGGTGTGTCAAGCCTATTTTCCCACTTAGTTTATAGAAGCCAGTCCATGTCTTGAAACTAAGCTTCACACTTGGCACGAACGTTGTAGAACTCCTTCATTTTATAAACAGCACCACAATGCAAAGATACAACACAATATTCGTATACTAGAGCAACGATAGAAGCAACACAAAGCTCAAGCAACATTCCAAAACAAGAAAAGTTGTTTCATGAGCAGCACTGCAACTACGAACTGGTGAACTTCGGAGTCCCACCGGGGAAGAAAGCTAGAATCTCTCTCGTTATGCCTTCGCAATGTTCCGTATCCGAGTCGTTGGCGAAGTACTTGGACTTGGGTCGTTTGCGCTTCTATTCTTCTACAACTGTACACAATTTTGTCACCAAATGCTTGGGAACGATGGAATGGTAGTCAAACTCATCGCTGTGCACGTAGGAACGCCGACTTCGTGCCGATCGCGCACCCACGAAGTCATCAGGCATGATAGCAGGGTAGTTTGCCAGTGCTTCGCGGACATACAACGTCGCAAGTGTTATACGCCCATTCCAAATCTCGCGAGAGGACAGGCACTTTCTTGTCTGGCAATGCAATCGCTGCTAAGTTTTTCGGCATCTTCCCAGGTTGCATCCTTGTTTGCTTCAGCTTCTTTCGCTGATTATGTCTCGGTTTGGCTTTGGGAAGCTGCATAATTTCAATCTTGTCGTTTTTTCTAGCGATTGTACTGGATGTTAAAAAACAATTTTGGCTCCCGTTCAGCATCTGTCGAGGGGTGCTTCGGTTTCGACAATGCAGACTCTTTAGTGACTTGAGCCGACGTGGGCTTCCAGGTCTTCGTCAGTGTTTTCGTCGTACTGCAAGGTTTCACATCAACGATTGGTTGGTGTTTGGCGTCGTTTTTGGTGTGTTGTTGCGTCAGCAACATATCGACCGTCATCATGCAGCTTCATGTCCTGTATCGTTCTCATTGTATCGATAAGGTCTGCAGGCTCAATCTCAGAAACCGTATTACTATCGAGTTCATCGTCGAGCACACATTCCGGTGACCCCGTGTCTGCATCAGGAACCGTTTATATGTCGGACACACATGCCTCTGACTGTGATATTCCATCTCGAGCTATCCCTCGCCAGCATTCCAAAGCCGCATAGAAGGCTGGACTCGACAGCTCCGCAAGATGTTCAATCACAGACTCAAATGCCGCTTTCGCATAGCAATATTTCTCTTCTGATGATAACATCACCACACTTGCACGTTCATGACGTCCCATTTTTACATAGATTTCACGCTCTTTACGTCGACGACATTTCCCTGCTTTCCCATTCAGCATTGTACCCATAGATCCAGACAATGTTGCACCTTGTGTTGTTGTCAAGTCGCCTTGTGTTGCTTCAGGCGGATGTGTTGCTTTAAACGTGTATGTTGTTCCGGACAGTGTGTTAATGCCCGAAGCGTTTGTGATATCGTTGTGTGTGAACGACTCGTCGGTGGCTCTCATCGTATCCTGAAAGGTCTGGAGCGCATCCACGCCATCCGTGGATATTGGGTCATGTTAGATATGTCCGTTTTGGTCCCAACGCGGGGAATGGTCGACACCGGAAGACTCTCAAATCGATGCACGTTGCCAGCATTGTGCTTCAAATGTTGACACGGAAGATTGTAGCTACGGTAAAACAAACAAGAGCACGACCACCGGAAGTCGTTGCACTGGTGGGTGTCATCTCCAAGTTTCACTTTCCATTTACACACGTCGGACCCGCGTTTCAAGCACACTGTTCGAGACGAAGACACCATATAATAATCCCATTGACGGCAAACCTTCGCCAGCATAGCGTTGCTCAGACGGGTCCCTACCAGAGAGAGAAAATCAGGAGCAACCTCGGGTGCCGCAAGCTTGAAGAATTCTTGTGCATTGAAGTAAGCAAATGTCTGGCAATTGTGACTTGGTGAGCTAAAAGCCCATCAATTGTTGCATCCAGACGGGAGCGATTTCCAAGCAGAAGCTTCAGTTGGTTTCAGTTCGATTCAATTCGATTCGTAGTGGTATTTCCGGCTGTGTAAAATCTTCCTCTTGCGTGTTAAGCCCACATATCCATGCACGTCTCCCAATTCTCCTCAAAATACTTCAAACGAGATGGGCTTTTCGCTCTGCATGTTTGCTTGAAAGGTGACATGCTCGGTGTCAAAACTCGACTGTGTCTTGCTATACAATACACAACAAACAATATAGTGTGTCAGCAACACAAGAAGCAACAATAGGAGCAACTTATCAATCGACCAAGTTTAAATCTCATTACCACGCACGTTAAGCGAATGTTGTTTCCATTGTATCTCTCTCCATCACCTTTATGTTAACCCTTCTAGTCCTGTATGCTGTATAATACAGCATAAGTATTATAAGAGGTTTTAATATGCAGCGAACAATGAAACATCAAACTTTTTCGCATACTGGAATTTGTATTGGTCGGTTGCAAATCCTAACGGTGACTGGTTTCTCGCACGTCGTTACTGATCTGGGGTTAGAGGAGCCCGTCTACGGATGCTATCGGGTGGATAGAGGTTTGTGTCGATCGCGCTATCCCGCTCCCTCCCCACTACACTTGAAATCTCGGTCTCCCTCCGCCCCGCTCCGCCCAACTCGAACAGCATGGAAAAAACGTTCAAGCAGCTCTGGCGAGAGCTTTGCAAGCAAGGGTGGACACCGAAGCCCCCCACCGGCCTAAGTAGTGACCACCGCTACGTCCGCCCGGGAAGAAGCGTGAAAGGAAAGGATGGCGTCGACTACTTCACCGGTACAGCTCGCACCACTAGTTTGCATCGATTACAACAACTTTACTAACCGATTTGTCCCCTCAGGCGAGAAAGCGCTACTGGAGTTTGCTCGACAGCGTGGCTGGTTAGAGTATAGTGTTATCGCTGGAACTATTCCTCCGTCCCCTTCGTCGACAGCATTGACAGCACCGCCTGCAGACAGCGGAGCGTGCGATGATAGGCCCACCTCTGCCGCAGCTGATCGCGTCGAAAGGGAGACAGCACCAACGACTACCCCGCCTGCTAAAGAGAACGTGCCAGCTACGACGACCTCTACTGCGACGGCAATCACTGTAGCCAGTACAATTCAAGCTCGGGCTTCGAGTCCAGTTACTTCGGCTAATACAGCACAAGCTCGGCCCTCGACCGCAGCTGCTCGACCGGCTACAGCACAAGTTCGGACTGCGAGTGTGGCTACTCGGGATGCTACTGTACAAGCTCTGACTGTGCGTCCTGTTACTCTGGCTTCTACAGCACAAGCTTCGAGTGTTATCCTGTCTGATACAGCAGAAGAAAACACAATGACGCTGCCTCTGCATCTTGATACAGCAGAAGGTCATGCTGCAGTAGAGGAAGAGGAAAAAGGTGAGGAGCCCGAGCTTGAAGACGTTGCAGAGTTCAACATGCACGATTCGAATGGATTCATTTTCGCTTTGTCCAAGTGTGAATGGTCTCAAAATGCGGATGCAGACGATCCCAATCTCTGTGACTCGGACTCGGAGAGCGACAAGTCTGATGAGATTGATACGGAAGATTATATTCACGAAGTAATGGACACGGAAGTGGGCTTGGCAAGTAATGCCGCCGAGGATGCTCTGAGCGACAACGATGACGGATTAGATGACGCCGAATTCTTCGAGGATGTTGCTGATGATGACTGGTCCCCTCGAGAAAATGCCAATGCCAATCCTGATTTTCTCCGTGACGCGGAATTGAAGGCGGTTTCTTCTGCGTGGGTTGTATACGATCAAGACCACAGTGGAGACCTGCAAGTAGATGGTGCATCGGATCTGTACAATGGCCGGTGGGGTCCAACGGAGTCTGCGCGAACGTATGCGGAGTCACCTCTTGCCATGTTTTACTACTTCATGCCGAAGTTGATGTGGACCAAAATTGCTGAGGAATCCAATCGATATCGTGCGAGTGTGGTAGATGAAGTCGCTATCCAGAAGCAACGCCGTCAGCAACAGTGGCAACTTACACACCCAGATAGTCGAGTCCAGTCGTATAATCCACGGATCCCAGGGTTGGTCGCCGCTAGCTGGAAGGATTCAAAGATCGTCAACTTCATGGCAACGGGATGCAGCACGAGACGGGTTATTGTTCAGCGAAAGCGTAAGGGGGGTGGCGTCTCTCTTGAAGTTGCGTGCCCCGAGCTGGTTCGTATCTACAACAAAGGCATGGGAGGAGTAGACCAACACGATCAGCTGCGACTTCACCGCTATTCTATCCAGAAAGCACTGCGCCATCGATCCTACTACAAGAACCTGTTTTTCGGTATCGTTGACATGGCATTAGTCAATGGGTTCATTATCCACAAGTTAGTGATGAAAGAGCAAGGCAAACCTGTTCCCACCCATGCTGACTATTTGGCGCGGCTACACGTGGAGCTGCTTGCGCAGCAAAAGGTGGACTTTCAAGGCAACATGCACGCCCAAAACTTACTTTCGACCCCACTGGCAGGACAACCGCACGTGCTGACAAAAACTGCGGAAACCTACAAGAACAAAGTCCGTCAGTATTTATGCAAAGTATGTTCGGCCTATTCCGACAAGGAACATCGCAGCTTCGAGACGCCGTACTCTTGTGAAGAATGCTCGCTTACCTTTGGGGGTCGCGTGGCTCTTTGCAACAAGGTTCGCAGAGAGGAGCGAGGCAACACCGACACGTGCCATCAGACATGGCATATCACCTGGAAGAATGGCACCATCATCCCACCGGACATGAGAAAGAAAATTAGATTCAGGAAAAGAAAGCTGCAGGAAGTAGATGACGAGTAGCTCACCTCTGATCTAATGTGGAGGAAACTTTGCCCATTTGTTGTTTACACAAGTCTTTGCTTGACAAATGGGCAAAAGTTTTCTCCGCGGAAAGCGCGGGGTAGCTGCAGCGCTCTCCACGCCACCAGTTTTGGCGCGAATCGCCACGACGACTTCCGTACATCGAGTGTGAAAGGGTAACGAGTGCTACAGACATTTTTCACGATTTTGCACAAAATGTATCCATCAATCTAGCCAATTAGGACTCTTGCATTTACTGGTGGCATCATAAATTGTACTAGAATCCGGCTCGATTGCTAGAAGGGGGCTACAAACAGATAAACTTCACACAGGTACGCCGTCATACTATAGGAAAGCTTATTCCTTTTGCTGTATAATACAGCATAAACAGAGGGGCTAGAAGGGTTAAACTTGTCTCGCTTGCAGACTTTACGCCAGTACGTTAGCGCATGATACTGACAAAGAAGGACTTTTGCTTCTGGAAACACTTTTTCCAGAACACGCCATTCCACGAAATCTTTGTCGATGACTAGTGTTTAAATCGATCTCCACGAAGGGTTTTTGCGCTTGAAAAAAAACCATAATATTTTTCATCGTAACAGTTTTCTGGCCGAGTGCTAGGAAGTCTATCACGGGAAATCCTCCACCGGTGGCAGTTGTAACATCGAGACTGCCTGTAGCACAAAAATACGTATATACAGAAATTAGCCATGTGCTGATAAAAGCCGTTAAGCTAAGCCATAACACTTGATATTGCCCAAATTATATCCCAGATTATTGGTCCCATGGGTCCAATCCATAAATAGTGTGTCTCCCCACTGACAGAAACACTTTTTCTGGGTCGCTGTTTGCATCGCTATCACGCACGTGATATCCATTTGATCTTGAACGAAGAGAACAGCTTTACCAACGTTCCCATCCGCGAAGTCATCCAGAATTGTTTTAGTCCGCTCGAGAGTAGTGCTTCCCAATACTTGACGAAGAATACATCTTGTTTGCTGAGGTGTTAGAACCATTTCTGCATAATTATAACAATTGTGAAGAGCGACAATAAATATAAAATAAAGTAAGTTAGTACGAGATAAAAAAATAAAACCTAATTCACCACTGGCACCCACCACGCTCTTTCGACAAATCTCGATTGATATCCGAAGTGCCCGTCTTCATATCCGTCAAGCGTCCAAGATCTCGGCGAACCTTGGCCGGAATGGACATGTACTTTGCTCCACGGTTGGAGTCGAAAAATATGCTTGTTCGTCTCGTGATTGAGAGTAGATATCTGACAAGGGAATGTAGCGAATATTAGCATGTAACATTAAGATCTACAAAATAAAACGTACCTCAGTTTCTGGGTCCACGTAAACACCTCACGCAGCAGTGCCATGCTTGACAACCTTGACACAGCGAACCAAGAAGCTTGCCTCACACCCCGTGAATATCAAGTTACGGCCGCGGAGGCCTTCGCCTCGGGTGGATTGTGTTGAGCTATGTGTACACCACATCCGCTTGAAGCTGTGTGAAAAGCGCTCTGGAATGAATGTGGCACTAGACCGGCTAGAGCAACAAAAACAGCAACATAGAGAGCAAAACGTAAGTGATTACGAGGCAGAAACTTCCAAATATTATCTTTCAGCATCGTAACGCCGCACCTGTTGTTTTTGCGCCTGGCTTCGGAGCTTCGGACGCGAAAATGGAGGAAGTATTCGGCCTCGTAACGCTTAAGTACTTCCTCGAATACCTCCCAGCTCTTGAACGACTTCTTGGGCAGGCCTCGTTTAGTGTTAACGACTGCTTGAAGCGACATGCTAATCTTCTCACGCGCTTCAAATGTTTTTGTACGACGCCGGGCTCGCTGTTGCCTGACAGCACTCGCGGTCGTAACGGAGTTTGTGATACTAGTACGGGTGCGCTTGAGTGGACGACAATCCTCACTATCTTCTTCAGTGCGAATCGATCTCTCACGCGGTGACTCATTTCGCCTCTTGTGCTTAACTCGCTCCAGCTCAGCATCGGTTCGAGCGGCCCGAACAAACTGAAGGATATAGGCTACTGAAACCCAAAACCAGGAGTAACATAGTAAGCAACACAATTATTCGAGCAACACTTGCATTATCGTCGCCATTGTTACTCATATTAGCGCCTTCATCACCGTCCCCACCCGCAACCGTGTCATCGTCACCATCTTGTGCCGAGGACACTGGCGTGCGGGCCTCTGCCGTGCCAGTGGCCTTTACGCCTGCGTCCACAGGCGTATCCGTCACTTCAGCAAACAGACGAACAAAATTGTAAGCAGTAAACTATAATCATTTATCGCCCTTAGCAAATACATACAAATGTTATCCACGGCATCGTCCTCATCCCCATTCACCGTGTTAGGCATGTCCGTGCCTTCTTTTATCTCCACACCCGTCACACGACAATCGATATCATTTTCCAACTCCTTCTCACCAATATCTGCGTCCTTCTTAGACGTAGCCTCGCCCTTTTCAACCGCACTCCCTATCGCACCCTCTTCATTCGTTGCAGCGCTCTTCGCGTCCTTCTGGTTAGTGGCCGTGACTCTAGAGTAACCAGGGCTGGTAATGTCGTCATCGCTGTTTTCTTCTTCGAGGCCTTTCATGTATTCCTCCTCATTCGCCACGTCATTGTTCGTCGTAAAGGAGTCATCAACGTAGTCGTCGTCGCTGGAAGAATCCCGAGTAAATCCTTGAGCAGACCGAACGTAATCCACATTTTTTTCTCTTACCGCAACCAGCGCCCTAATAAGACTCGCCACTACAGAAGCAGTTTGTTCGTGTGTTAGCGCAGCTCCTCGGGCTACTCTACCACACGCAGCCTACCCGTAGCATTCAGTGCGCGCGCGGCTTCCCGCGCTCCTGGCTTCGATATTTCACTGTTCTCCCTTTGTTGTTTCGAATGAAATGAGAGACCCGTACGCTTCGTACTTAGTGCGGCACGAACTTAACCAGCAAAAAGAGATTTTAAAAGAAATATGAATGTTGCATTCAAGCTTTTGAAAGTTTAGAGTAAAATAAAACACTATAACTTACCCAGCAACACAATCGCTGTTGTGTCACTCAGATGGGGTTACCGTCTTGTTCTAAGCGGGGTGCGGTAGCGACTCTGAAGGAAACGACACTAGCAAACACATCAAAACGACCACCAACAAACACGTTTATACATAGAATGGACTAACATTGCAAGCGATTTGACAAACTAAGTTTGTGTGACCATCTAAGACAAAAATAAGCACATAATATGCATTATCTTGCCCATAATACCGAGCGAACGCGACCATTTATTATCTCCGCTTAATATGCGTTTTCTCATAATAGGTTTTTTGGTAATCTGAAGAAGGCATATGTACTATGGTTTTGTGCTGAAGGCTCGCCGTAGCCCGCCCTTTCGGTATCGGTTTCCTGCTAGTGGTGCCGATTGAGTGCCCATTACTACGATCATTTACTCTCAAACACTTTCATCAATCGAACACGCATCGACTGAATTGATACAACGTTCGAATCTTGTATGACGCTCAGTTTGCGTTTTAAAATAATATGCATAATCGGCAAACACGGCCTAAACTTTGTTGTGTATCCATATTTCGATACCCTGATTAACTAACCAAAAGGGATGTGTGTTGCCTTCAACAGGAACACCGCAATTAGAGCTCGCGTTCGGCAGCAAGTCATGCAGTGTGACGGGGTCACACATCGCCTTGCGCTAGAGGAAGTTGGCTTTCGAGAGTATACAAACTCTCAGTGAACGGCAGCTCACAAGTCCAGTTTTGCCTAAGGGAGCGAAGTGACCAATTTAAGATAAGCTGTAAACTAAATATATTCATAGGTAGACTAAGCCTGAGTTAAATATACAAACTATAAGTCACCTATAGAAAAGCAATGTCATCAGCCAATGGTTGGCCTCGGACGAACCTGGTACCATGTACCAGATATTCCGAAGTGTGACGTGTCACACTTCCTGTAACTAGGGTACACTTGAGGCTACGTACCCCGTTACATCCCCTACTTAGGTTCGGCTTACCGATCAATCAGAATGAGGAAGTGTACGTCACAAAAGCTCATTCTCAAAGTCGAAATACATCGACTTGGCTGCGCGAGCGCGGCGAAGGCTCACTTTACAGTTAGCGTCTCGAGCAGCGGTCGAGCGCTCCTCTTCTTGGTCTCCATATCGACCGTTACCATGCCCCGTGGCACTGCGAAGAGCGGTGCGAAGACACGCTCCAAGGCTGCCTGAAAGGCATAAGCCAAGAGCACTAAGCCTCACGGCAAAGGCTCGGCACTCCAGGAGGCTACTCAGGTGGCCTCCGAGGCGATTGGCTCAACTGGTGACGCGGCTGTGGGCAAGCGAACGAGCAAGCGCCGCACTCCGTCACCCTCGGCCTCTCCAGACAATCGTCCGAGTCCTCGGTTCGCTGAACGCGAGTTCGACTCAGGCAGTGAGGACGAACCCGAGTCCGGGAGTACGCACGATGCTCCTGTGGGCTCTACTGGAAGGCACAGCCCAGTGCCCGGCAAGCACAAGGACGACAGTGCAGTCGCTCGCTAATGATCACGGTGATCACAGTCCCAGGACGTCTGTGCGCTCTGAGAGTCCTGCGGGCAAGGCTAAGGGCACTCCCAAAGCTAACAGCGACGAGGAGAAGAAATATCGCAAACGTCTCTCGCTCGCCGAGAGTCTTGCACGTGCTAAGGCCGCCAAAGCCGAAGACGCCAAGCCTATTAAGAAGCGCACGGCTTCGAAGTCCCCACTCCGCGAGAAGAAGGAGACTCGGTACTCCTATCGGAACCTCTTCGGCTCCTCGGATGAAGAGGACGACGAGGAGGAGGAGGGTGCTATTCATGAGCCCGGGAGATCGCTAACGACCTCGACCAGCAGCAGGAGTACTTCCAAGCTGACCAGCGCACGTGTGCGGGTCCGGCGGTAGCACCCGTCACCCAGGGAGTACCATCAACGCAAGGGTTTATTGGCCTCCCGAGGAGAGCTCTGGGGCTGACCTCTTCCTGGAGATCCTCGTCGCTCCTCGTGGCCTTGTCGGTGGCCACACTTCTAAGGGTGTTTATGAACGCGCCCTGGTCCAGAACGAACAGTTGTTCGCTGACAACTTTTATGCCGCCCCGGTGCGTGCTTCTCGCGCCGCACCGAATCCCTCTGAAGGATTTCACGACTTGTCGTAAGAAGCCCGAGAACCGGGGTGGTCTCTACCGTCTCTGGGGTTACCCCGAGAACTGCCCCAATTGGAGCTCTTGTGAGGGCATGTTCTGGGCTTGGGTGGAGTCTCTCAAGTACTCACCCTCGGAGTTACGGGCACCCCATGAAGATCAGCTGTTGTCCCGCATCCTGGACCAGCGTGATCTTCGTGTTCAGTTTGCCCACAGAGTCAGCAAGCGCATACTGCCAAGGGACATTCTGAAGCGCACGGCTTCTAGCGCTCATGATGAGCGCGAGTACGGAGTGTCGTCAGCGTCCGTACCCCGTTCGGGCAAGAGGCCCTGGACTACTTATGAAGCTGCCATCGCTTCTGTTCCCAGATTGCGACAGCCTTCGGGCAGTCAATCAGGAGTCGCTCAATCGGCTCCCCCGAGTTCTCGGAGTGGGCATAGCCCCTTCACTTCGCGAGAAGCTGTCCCTTACCACGACGCCGTTGCTCCTGGAGGATCTGCTGCACGTGGTAGTGGACTTCTCCGTTCTGGTCAAGCAGGGGCGGAGTTGCCCTCGTACGAGTACGAGTACTCGGCGCCTCCGGAATGCTACTCTCGTCCGATTGCTTCTCCGGTGGGTCCGACGCAGGGTCCTGAGGTTGATCGCCTCCGTCAACGCGTCCTCGTGCTTGAGATTGCACTTGGCCTTGGGACTGGCTGGGATGCTGCCGCCCAGGCCGGAAATCAGGGCGGGCTCGCTCGTCTTGCGGGCCGCCTGGACCTGTTGGAGCGTGAGCTCGCGAGCCTGCATCTGCGAGTGGCCCAGCGGGCCTCTTCGTCCGATCTTGACGAGGCCTTCCGCATGATCCAACGTATCGAGGCTCTGATGTCACGCCCGGAGCCGCCTTCGGCACACTCCCAGTCGTATGCGTATGGTGCGTACCCGGCGTACGCGACCTACTCGGCGTATGGATCTGGGGTCCGTTCGTACGGGGATCCTCCGGCGTACGGTCTCGACCGCCGCCTTGCTGTTCAGCCCGAGGATTGGGTAACTGCTTCGACGCCGTCGTCGACGTCTGTGGTCTGCCCTCGCTTCGAGGAGTTGGGCAAGGTGGGTCTGCGAGTCAGCGACCGCCTGCGGATCCTAGTATCGCTTAAGACGTCCAACGTCGAACGTCGGGTGCGTCGTCATTGACTTGGTCAGGTCGATGGTGTACGACGCACCATGCTTGGCAAGGACTGTGAACGGTCCAATGAAGCGGTGATTCAGCTTGTTGCTGACGACAGAGCTTACAGTGTCTAGCGGTAGGTTCCTCGTGTCTAATAGCACTAATTCACCCACCTTAAGTACACTTAAGTTTCCTCCTCCATGTTTGTCAGAGTACTCCTTCTGCCTATCCTGGGGCCGCTGCCATGGCATCGCGGACCCTGCTGATCGCGCTCTGCTTGGTATCCACAAAGGTTTCCACCTGTTTCCGCAGCGAACCGGGCTCACATCTGAGACGTGGGAGGAAAAAGATTTCCGAGCCTCTCCCCCACTTAGAATAGAGGATACAGTCTCTCCTTGAAGTGTGAGAGGCACTCTGGGGTGACGGAAGCCGTTCAAGTAGAACGGCGTGAGCCCCGTGGACGCGTGCACCGCGTTGTTGAGTACAAACGCAACAACTGGAAGCTGCATCGACCACGTACGTGGTGCTTCCGCGCACACACTGCGCAGAGTGTCCTCAAACACTCGATTGACGCGCTCTGTCTGGCCGTCTGTCTGTGGATGGTCCGCGGTGGACATCTGCAGACGAGTTCTCAGTAAAGGAATTAGCGTTTTCCAAAACGCGGCCGTGAACCGCGGGTCTTGGTCCGAGACAATCGTCTCCGGGAGCGGAGCACAACATCGACAAACAACCTTGCGTTTCGCTCGCCTGTGACGATAACGGGTACTAGAGCAAGATGTACCATCTTGCCCAGCCGATACGAACACCAAAATCTCGGTGTTGCTGTGTCCGTCGGTGGGAAGCCCAAATATGAAGTTAAAACTCATCAACTTCCAACAGTCAGCCGGAACGGGCAGATTCTGTAGTGAAGCCGAAGCGTGCCCTGCGGGTTTAACCCGCTGACATGTTTCACATGTCTTCACGTACCGTGCGACCCACTTGTACATGTGGGTCCACCAGATAGCCTGAGAGACCGACAGGAAGGTCTTCTCGCGTATCCGATCATATAGATCCGTTGTCACCCGTGTGATGTGGGCCAACTCGTAGTCTGGACGCCGAGAGAGGGCGTCCGCAAGTACGTTGAGCTTGCCCGGCTTGTACTCAACGCAGCTCTAGCTTCGTCCAGTAGCACAAATAAAGCACATAGGCTTTGTTATGCTAAACGTCTTGAATTCATGATCACGCGTTCCGATAGACGAACAGTGGCTTCAGATATACTGAAGATGGATATCAAATCCTTTCATAATTCTTCCAACTTTGCCGGTATTGTGTGATACAATGGTACCTGGGGGCGATTCCAGCTAAAACGACGCCGTCAGTTATCAGACCACTATACTCCTAGTCATCTATTTTGTACGCTGTTTCAACATCTCGCCAGAAGTGAGCTTTCTCCGAAAACTGGGGTCGTTAAATCAGCTCGAGTTAAAGTTCTTTCCTACAAGTACAGCAACCAAACAGCAAGTTGCACTGCAATTATATCCAAAATTATACGTACCAGTAACTTCAATAAGTCTTGTCACCATATCCTTAGACAGCACATTATTCGCTAAGCGGAACATGCAGTGCCAGGTACGATGAGTGTTGCCAGAAGCCATTGTCGATGCAGATGAAAGGCCTTCGCCCTTTTTAACCAGCTCATCATATCGGTGGAGGAACTTTATGCGATTGGCATTGTTTTTCGGCGTGTGAGGCTTGATCTCGCTGTAGTGCCCATTCCTTGCGAGTGAGATCCTGTGGCATTTTCTCGCATGAGTCCCCACGCAAAATGTCCTTCCCTTAGTGTGCCACAAAGGGTAGTAGGGACCGTATTAACCCTTTCCTCATCATTCGCTCTTATTTGCGCTGGGCTTTCCATGATGTAAACAGTGCGGATACCGTAAATGGTGGTATCGACAACCCGGCAAATGCTATCGCCGAAGCTGCCACAGTAACGA